AGATGCGTGTTGCCACAGTGCAACCGGCGACGCACATCGCCGACCTGGTTCCTGTCGCGACGTCTGGATTCCCTTGAATGCCGTACAAACACACCACCACCACCACCACCACCACCACCACCACCACCACCACCACCACTCCTGCCGCATTTGCTGCTACGAGTGTTTGCATCATGATACTACTGCATACTTACTGCCACTGCTGCTGGTGGTGCTGCATGGTCCTGCCTTCAGTCCAGGCATTCAACGCCCCAGCTGCTCGTCTTGCTGAGCTCCATGCCCCTGGCTTTCAGGCTATGTCGTCAAGACTGTGAATGGCCAAGATGTGCGCAGCCAGCTCCTCAGAACCGTTTGGTTGCCCGCTGGGCCCCGTAGCTGATCATGGGACGGTATGGAAAGCTTGCGGGTCATGTGAAGTGTAGAGCCTAGAGCTCCCCATGAACAGGCTGGGACTTCGAAGACATCATGGACCTCCTGGAGGCAGCAAATCTCATCTGCTAACGCACGCGAGATCCCATGCAATTGCGGACCAAAGCCGCTTAATCCAAGACCATTCGCCTTGATGTATGCCTGTAGGCACGTGCGCCTGGAGACGCGCAGACATGCAAACATTATGCATCCATGCAGCTGGCAAGGTCAGCGGTTCCGTACATGAGAGTTTTTTTTTGGACTCCTGAGCCCCAGCGAACTGGCTAACGCAAACGAAGGGAAGACAAAGCTACGCCCCGCCAAAACCCAACCTTGCAGGATTTTATCCCAGATCCGGATGTCCAGTCCACCGCGGCCTTCAAGAGCGGGGCCCGCCTTCCGAATGAGTTTTGGGTTTAATGGGGCTCATGGAAAGGGCTGCCGTAGGATGCCATGGGCTCAGCAGCCTTTGTTGGTTTTTGGGCTGCAGAGTGGAGGATTCAGGTGAGATGGTTATGACGGATGCCTGGTCATATTGCAAGGATAATTTGATGGCACAGGCTTGAATCCAGTGTAATTTCACTGCAGAGAATGCCCAAAACCTCGTGTCAGGCGCAGAGAGCTCGCAAGCATCAGGCGGCCCTGATCTTGGTGGTCTGTGCTTTTTGCCTTTTCGTGTCCGACTGCCGTTTTCTTCCGGGTCCATGGTGTCTGCCCACGAATCACAAACACTCGAAGCTTCTGCAACAAGGTTGACTTCCCTGTCACCATCGAGTACGTAGAGATGTCGCCCATGGAGAAGGCCACCCTTGGGGCTGGGACGATGGATGCTGAGCTCCCGACATCGAAACCGTGAAGTTCTAGCGCAATCGAATATTCCCCAACCGGATGCACGGAAGGGAATGGTTTTGGTCGGATTTTGAAATTCTTTCAGGAGCGTCAGAGGCCGTTTCGGGTGCTGCAAGGCATTCGAAGACCAATGCAAGCGTGTGAAGCAAAGCAACGTGTATGCCTTGGGTCAGTCAGCAGCAGCTGCGCCGGCCATTCCTGCTGGTGCTTGGACGCCTCGTCTCAGCGGCTGGTCCGATGAGGAGACCGTCGGGACCCAACAATACTGTTACGACTGGGCCTGTCATGCATGTTGGTGCAGTGCAGTGATGCGCTCGTGATCCCGCGTTGTCAAGCTGCTGATGTTGTTGCGGATTGTTCTGTCAGCACGTTGAAGTCTGAACTGCATCCGCAGCTTTTAGCAAGTGCATCTCCAGCTGCGTGGTGTTCATGACAAAGACAAGCCAGCAGGCATGCAGCTCATGTCCCACTGTGAGTTCTTCACACCAGATGTTGAAGTCAGCGATCTCCACGCAGAAACGCTTTGTGCTGCAGTCTCTCCGAGCCATGCCATGAATTCAAACCTTACGCCGACCTACACCACGTACACAACCACCAGCTCCACTTCGACGACAAGTCAAGCTGCCAGATGTAGCTAGACAGAAATCACCGAAAGGTGAGCTTTCCTCTTCAGGTGCGGGCCATTGGTATCCGCAGGTTATTCCCCTTCTACAGGTGTGTTAAGCGCCGCTTACATGTAGCTGTGGGGTCACTACAGAGCCCTCAAGTAGCTCTGCACTATCCAGTCGAAGCCTGAGCTCCTCAGTCGTCTGTTTGTGTATAATATGATACCTGGTCCACAAGCGACCTCAAAGATTCAAGCTCTCAATAGCATCGGGAACTTGGCTTGTTCTTCATGCAGCAAGTCATATACCCGAAGCTGCACAAAGGCACAATTTGCCGCTACTTGGACTTGAACATCGACGCTTGCCTGGAATCAGTGTTTTATTTTCCCGCTACGGCAAGCCATGTTTTAGTGATCTGACGCAAAAGAAAGCGAGATACTACTTGCTGGAATATAGTCTTCGGTGGTTGGAATCAGAAAGCCGATTTAAAGCGGCACGCTTGCCTGCAATACCTCCGATGCAACCCGCTACTGGGACGCGAGGCATGTTGGTGTCGCTGAAGTAGTAGGGCATCATGCGCACGGCCGAGGAGGAACACAACGCGCGCAGCGACATCCTGCTGCTGATAATTGGGGATGCGTCGCTCTACCAATCTGGAGGCCTCAGCAAAAGCTTCGACTGCTTGAAACGGTGACGTACTGACATTGCTTATCGTCTCTGACGATGGTAAATAAAGATCGCGCGCTTGCAAGCAGCACAGACGCAGACGGTCTGAAAGCCTCTGTGCGTGCGAAGACCAGACGGCTTCGTGGCTTCGTGAAGCTCGTACTCAGGCAACAGTTGTGTTGAGTTTCTCCTTATGGCGACCAAAGAACCGACCAAAGAACCGTTCGTGGTCTTGCAGGGTGGCTCCTTCGACGCTTCGTCTCAAGCCTTGAGCTGACAAGCGGCAAGATACCAACTGCACAGGCAAGCATGCCTCCTATGCAACGGCTTGGGGCTGCTATGCCGATGCTTGGAAGATGAAGGTGCCAACTGCATCCACGTGCCACGTGACATGGTAGCTGACACTAGGGCTTGGTGGTCCCAGGTACTCTGACATAGAGCCGCGCATGGGCATGCCCTGATTGGTTTGGGTGAGCCGATGTCCCGGAGCCGAGCTTGCTGAGTGTTTTGCACGCAACAGACGTGTTGGAAGGCGCGAGCTGTCGACCCCCACAACGTGCCGACGTGCGAGGCCAAGGCAGCACCCTGTGAAAATGTAAGTGAGCACAATTCCTTCAAGGGAGTTTTCTGGCTTGCCTGCTTGATTGCGCTGCACATCTCGCCTCGGCCATACTCGGCCAGGATCCGGACTTTGGGCGATTCTGCGTGCAGGCCCGGATTCTGGAGGCGCCCCAGAAGCCACTGCCTTCTTGTGGTCGTGCTATGCAATTTTCTTTTATTTTACTGTGCCATGGTGAACATCGTCGCAGTAGTAATAATAGTAGCAGAAGTAGCAGTAGCTGTCATCGTCGCCGTCGCAGTGGTAGCGGTAATGGTGATAGTAGTAGTAGTCGTCGTCGGCGTCGTCGCGTCTTCGTCGTAGTCGTAGTGGTCGTCGTCGTCGTAGTGGTCGTAGTCGTAGTAGTAG